GTTCATTCTCATTTGATTCTGGAAATTTTTTTATTCCATCTTTGATTTCTTCTATTATCCAGTGGTTCTTCAGCAAGGTACTATTCAGTTTCCATGAATTTGATTTTTTTCCTTGCTCTTTCTGTTATTAATTTCTACTTTTATGGTGTTGCGATCCAAGAAAATGCTTCGTATTATCTGTGTTCTGTATTTTGTTGAGGGTTGCTTTGTGGCCTAAGATGTGGTCTGTTCTGGAGAAAGTTCATGTGCATTGGAAAAGAATGTATACTTTGCTGCTGTTGGGTACAGTGTTCTGTATATGTTTGTGAGGTCAGGATGGTTTATTGTGGACTTAAGATCTTCTGTATCTTTGCTGAGTTTCTTTCTAGATGTTCTGTCCTTCACTGAAAGTGGTGTGTTGAAGTCCCCTACTATTATGGTGGAACTGTCAATTTCTCTTTTTAGTGCTGTTAGAGTTTGTTTTATGTATTTTGGAGCCCTGTCATTGGAGCATATTTATTATGATTATGTCTTCATGGTGGACTGTCCCTTTAATCATTATATAATGTCTTTCCTAGTCTTTTATGATGGATTTTGCCTTAAAGTCTATTTTATCTGATATTAGTATTGCCACTACTGCTCTTTTTTTGCTTGCTGTTTGCTTGATATATACTTTTTTCCATCCTTCGATTTCAGTTAGATTCTCTAACTGAAGGACTCCTTTTAACAATTCTTGTAAGTTTGGTTTTTATAAATTCCCTTAATTTCTGTTTATCTGGAAATGTCCTAATTTCACCATCATATTTGAGAGAGTTTTGCAGGATAGATTATTCTCAGTTGGCAATTTTTTTCTTTCAAGGTTTTATATATATCCTCTCATTGTCTTCTTGCCTGCACAGTTTCTGTCAAGTAATCAGAGTTCAGTCTTATTGCTTCCCCTTTGTATTTGACTTTTCATTTTTCCTGAGCTGCTTTTGGGATTCTTTGTTTTTGTCGAGTGTGATTATGATATGTCTTGGTGACTTTCTTTTGAGGTCTATCCTATGTGGGGTTCACTGAGCTTGGATGGTCGGCTGTTCATCTTTCATGATATTAGGGATGTTTTCTATCAGCAAATCTTCAATGATCCTCTCTGTGTTTTCCATTTTCTCTCCCTGTTCTGGAACTCTGATCACATGCAATTTATGCTAATTTTATCCCACATAGTTCTTAGGTTTTCTTCATTCTTCTTTATTCTTTTCTCTGATTTTTCCTCAAACAAATTGGCATCCATGGATTTGTCTTCAATTTCATGCATTCTTTCTTCCATTGTTTAAAATTTGCTCTTAATACCTTATACTGTATTGTCAATTTGTGACATTTTGTTGTTTATCTTTTGGGTTTCTAATTGCTGTTTTCGTATGATTTCTAATGTTTATTTATTTTGACATTTTGTTCTTGTACCATTTTCTTGAATTCTTCTATTGCTTTGTCTGTGTTTTCCTTGATTTTGGCTATATTTTGGTTGGTTTTGTCTGTGTTTTCCATCATTTTGTCTGTGCTTTCCTTGCTCTCTTTCCTAGTCTCTTGGAGAACCCTGAATATTGGGCTTTTAATTCCTTATCAGGTAGTTCCAGTGACTTTTCTTCTGGTGGAAGATCAACTGGTGCTTTATTCTGGTCATTTACTGGAGTCACCTTGTCCTGTTTTTTAAAATATGTTTTGATATTGTCTGCTGTCTCCGAGACATTCAGGTATTGTTTTCTTTATTTACTGACTGTAAGTTTGTTTCGTTCTGGTTTTTTTGTTGTTGTTGTTGTTATGTCTGGGCAGGTGGGCTAGGCGTGCTTTGTTGCTTGCTTGTCTGTGGGCATGATAATTCTCACCACCTTGTGCTGGTGTGCAGGGCCAGTTGCTGAGCTATGGTGCAGCAGGGCAGGTCCAGCAGGAAGGGAAAGGTGGAGATGTGTCATTTGTCTGCAGTTTTAACAGGTCTGGGGGCTGGAGCATGGCCTCTGCAGTCTGTTAGGGGAGGGGTCCTGAGCCAGCAAGGAAGGGCCTGGGGTCCAGGCTGGGTCCCCTTGGGGCCACAGCGGACAGCAGGAGGGGTCTGTAGCCAGCGGGAAGGGGCTTGGGGTCTGAGTCAAGTTCCCTGGTTGCCGCAGTGGGCAGCAGTAGGGTCCAGAACCAGTGAGAAGGGGCCTGGGGTCTGGGCCAGGTCCCCTTGGGCTACAGGTAGCGGCAGGCGGGGTCTGGAGCCGGTAAGAAGGGGCCTAGAGTCTGGTCTGGGTCCTCTCGGTGCTGCCGTCAGCAGGACAGAGTAGAGAGGGAGGAAGTGGTGCGAATGCAGGGGCAGAGGGGGCTACATGGAGAAGAGCAATAGGGTGGGTTGGTACTCTGTTTCCTAGCAGTCAGGGTTGTCACAATGGCGGGTTGTAGCCAATGTTCATCAGAGGGGTGGGGGTTGTAGAAGCATGTTCCTGAGGTTACTAGGTGAGAGAGTCTGGGCTTCTCCTTGAGTTACAGCCAGCAAACATGGTCTTACTTAGTCCTGGGTCTGTCCATGCTGTACCTCTATCTCCTATTGGGAATTCTGTGGAGGTGCCTTTCTGCGTGTAGGGTTGTTGGCTTTATTCCAAGATGGCAATGCTGAATCATGCTGTTTGGTTAGGAACCTCTACTATTTCTACTAATAGGAATCTCTACCCCGTCCCTGTTTTCTATTAGTTTCTTCTTCTCCTCAGTGACTTCCAATCTAATACTTTATCCCTTCATTTAAGGGTCAGGATTCTAGGATGGATGTCTGTATCTGTTTTACTTGGTTTTTCAGGTCTTTGCTGCAGCAGGATGGTTTAGTGCATCTGACTAGTCCACCACCTGCCTCCTATTCATATTTATAAAATGATATAACCATATTGCTGCCTCATAGCTTCCAAATACTCATCTACCCTTAATTTAAAAGCACAAACTTTACACTAGTCTGTGTTACATCACTTAAATCAGAAGTATACCAATGCTTTTGATTTTATCTAAAATTTTAATTGTTTTACCCAAAGAGTTCAAGTACAGTGTCACATACAGCCTACTACTGTGTTAGCCTCTACTGATACTTTCAAGAAATCTAACAATCAAAACATTCAATAAATATTTGATTGAATAACCAATTCAGTTCATTGTTGCTATTATTGGTGTTGGTGGTGGTGGTGTTAGTTGTCAAATCGGCTCCGACTCATGGAAACACGTATGTTACAACAAAACGTTGTCTGGTCTGTGGCATCTTCATGATCATTGGTATGTTTAGTCCATCATTGCAGCTATTGTGTAGTGCCTTTCAACTAGGGGGCTCATCTTCCACCACTATATTGAATAATATTCTGCTGTGATTTATAAGCTTTTCATTGGCTAATTTTCAGAATTAGATCATTAGGCCTTTCTTCCTAGTCTGTCTTAAGTCTAGAAGCTCCACTGAAACCTGTCCACCATTGCTGACCCTGCCGTTATTTGAAAATACTGGTGGCAAAGCTTCCAGCATCATAGCAACATGCAAGCTACCACAGTACGACAAACTGACAGACTGGTAGTAGAATTCAGTTCATAGATAAAAGTTAAAGCATTCTGTGATGGTTAAAGTTGTGTGTCAACTTGGCTGGGCCATGATTATCAGTGATTTGGCAGTTATGATGTAGTTTTGGCAGTTATGTAATGATGTAATCAACTCCATGATGAGAGCTGCTATGAGCAGCCAATCAGCTGAAAGGGAGTTTTCTTGGGGGTGTGACCTGCCTCCAGTATATAAATGGATGTTCCAGCAAGGCTCTTGCTCTGGATCCTGCAACTGGCTTGTCATTATCTGACAAGTTCTTGGGACTTGAGCTAGCAGATTACCTGCTGATCTTGGGCTCTATTGGCCTTCACAGACTGTGCGCCAGCAGCCTACCATCTGACCTACTGCTCTTGAGTTCATCAGCCCCTGCAGCTATGTGAGTCAGGAGAAGCCTCCAGACTGATGCCTGACCCATGGACTTGGGACTTGCCAGCCTCTACAACTGTGTGAGCCATTTCCTTGAGATAAATCTCTCTCTCTCTCTCTCCATGTATATATATATATATATATATGCATATATATACATATATGCACTTCACTGGTTTTGCTTCTCTAGAGAACCCAGCTTAAGCACACACATCTTAAATCAAAAAAACCAAACCCACTGCCATCAAATCAATTCCCACTAATGGTGACTCCAGTGTTACAGAGTAGAACTGCTCCATTAATGGGGTATATATAGATTTCAATCATTAATGTTTCTTTGTGAGGAAAGCTGCTCACTATATTGAGTCAATGTAATCAATGTAATTAACATATTGAAAACAGGACGGGTCCCTGCACTCAGTGAGGCTTAACTTTAGTAGGGGAAGGGAAATATGTAAACAGGTAGTACACTGAGGATTTATGGAAGAAGTGCATGCAGTTTGTGGAAATGGGGAGGCAAAGCGCACAATTCTACCTGTTGTGGGGAAAGAGGTTATTTGGAAAAGCTGCATAGATGAGTGGACATCAATCATTTCTCTAACTAGACTTTGTTGTTTTAAGGTTTTAAATTAAAAAATGGATCAATCCTAAACAAAATCATAAAGAAATTTTAACAAAATATCTAACGTAACTCTACAAATTGATATTTCAAAAAGAGATCCCATAAGATCAATTTTTCACAGATATACAAGTTTAGCTTAAGATAACTACAAATTGTGAGTAGTGTGCTAAAACTTACACCCTGGTTCACTGTTCCTAAATAAATATGTGTTTCTGCTTTGAGCACTGGTTTTTCAATAATATTAAGTTGAATTCTATTTACTGAGAATTGTAATGAAATGGATCCAAGTAGTCATTCTCATTAATTCTTATCACATTTAAGCTGAATGTCTTATTTTGGAAAAAACAAATTTAAAAATAAGAAATAGGAATCTCAGTAGTCACTTAAACATATTTCATAACTGTTCTTGTTGCTTGAAAGAACACTAAGTATAAACACCTTGATTTTTACCTGATTAAGAACCTTCTGTAGGTGTGGGGTGCCCATTCGATCAGCAATATGTCTATAAGCCGGGTGGGAAAGAAAAAATTTCCTTTCTGCCAACATAGCAGCCTTAATGTCCTTCTTGCCATCTATGTCCTTCTGGCTTCTGTTTACCACTCCCACATAACCTGAAACAAAACACAAACCTATGGCGTTTAGGATACTTTTGGTTGCTTATTCACGAGAAGCATTCAAGGCTTTCAAAATAGGTTGAATATGAAAGGCAAGATTATTTTTAAGGTCTGAAGGCTGGGTCCCTTTACAAAATTCCATTTGAGACACCAGTATTTGACAAAGGCCTCTGGTTTGGCTAATGATAATTTTTTAGCATCAACACAATAATGTCTCTTGCCCTTAAAAAGTCTGTGCATTTTAATAGAGTAGGTCTCTTGGCTATTTTGCCATACAGCAGACAAACAAATAAATCAGACATAAAACAGAACAGTATGTATTTATGCAGACTATGATGAATATTTATACCTCCCTTCAAACGCCTTCCTGTTTCTGTTTTCTCAGTCCTGTTATTTTAAAGAATAGTTCTCCACTTGGATAATTTTTAATACACCATTTGGGAACATTGTTGCCTTCTGCCATTCCATAAAAACTATAACTACTCATAATCCCATTCCTTGCAACTGACGAGGCATTAAAACTAAGCCTCCCATTGGCTTCCCAATCATTACCCTGCCATGTCATCAAAGGAAGCCCTGCACAGACCACAAGTACTTTACCCCTGCGAAGAGGCAGCAGCTTGTTCTCTAAAACATCCCTGGCATCTGTTCCTTCATCCATAAGATCCAGTTTGGTAATGACTCCAATGGTTCTCAGACCTGCAGCATGAACAAAACCAACATTAAACAATTTGGAGAAGGCTAACAAATTTTAGAGGCATGTATCTCATAGCTAAATGCGAAGCATGCGTATTTCTGCTCCTTTTCTTGTTCATCTTGGTCTTACTTTGTTTTCTTATCCACTATTACCCAAATCTGGTGAATTTTTTTTTTTTTTTGTGATGAAGAGGAGAGTTGCATACTCATAAGATAACTTTCAATTCAAATGAAAAAAAAAAAACAAATAGCTGTATCACCAAAATACTAATAAATACATGAGTTTATTGTCTTATAATGCGTAAATAGCAATATATATTTTAATTTTCCTCCTGGCACTCCACACAATGTGAATGCTTTAAAATTTTTATGGATTGCATTATTAAGAACAAATAAACAGATCAAAGATGAGAGTGTGTCATATACCAAGCATTATTATTTATCCAGTTCTGAGCATTTGAGGTGAAAAAATAAAAAGAAGAAAATTAGATTTCAGATGGTACCATCACCAAAAATAATCTTACAAGTCTCACAGCATTCACTGTTCCTCAGAAAAGGAAATATGATTTAGAGAAAGAAGACAGAACTAGGAATTATGAGACTAGATTCTAGACTCAAAGAAGGTCACTTAACTCCCTGGGTCTGTTTTTCTCATCTGTAAAATAAAGAGATGGAAGCTTGACCTCCAAGGCTTCTTTCAGTCATAAAATAATGTAAGAACCTAGTCATTTTATGTAACAGGTCAGACACATTGCATTTGTCTTTTGCATTCTTCATTAGATGAAATGCATTAAGACCATTTATTTGGTATTACAGTTATACAGGGTTACTTGAACATATATATTTAGCTTTTGCTTGACATCACTCTCAAATAATGTGGCTAATATTTATTAAAGGAGCCCTGGTGCTGCAGTGGTTAGAGTGCTTGGCTGCTAACTGAAAGGTCAACAGTACAAGCCCACTAACTGTTCCACAGGAGAAAGATGTGGCAGTCTGCTTCCATAAAGATTTCAGCCTTGGAAACCCTATGGGGCAGTTCTATTCTGTGAGTCAGAATCGACTGGCTGGCAATGGCGTTTTTTTGGGGGGGCGGGGGGTTAATATTTATTAAGGCAGCTTCTGTTATAAACAGTCTGCATTATTAAATCACTTAATCATAAAAACAGTCCAACAATTATTTTTTGAAGATGGAGAAACTAAGGCAGAGAGAGGTTAAATAAATTCCCCAAGGTCATACAGGTAGTGGATCCAGACAATCTGGTTCCAGAATTCATGCTTTTAACCAATATACTGCTTCTCACAATAAAATGATTTAAGAAAAAAAAAAAAGACAAACTAATAAGGTCAAAGAGACTGAGAGAATACTTTAGAAGAAAATTTGGAACTGGAAACCTAAAAGGATGACTTAACAGAGCAGAGAAAAAGAAAAACCGTATCTGAGGAAGCCAACAGTTAGAGGAGTCCAGAAGTTAGATATTTTACATCACAGCCTCTCAGACTCAGGACCTGAGCTCAGGAACCAACACTTCTGAAAACAGTGAAAGGAGTGGTAGCAGTTGAGGATTAAAACAGGAGCACTGGGTGGGAGCTGCCCCTGGTCCGTCCCACCATTAGAGTACAGGTTTATTTTCTGTAAAGACTGAAACAGAGAAACTCTGAACTCAAGGACACCAGGCCCAGTTTGAAGGCTCAGGAATTGAAGGAGGGTGATTAAATGAAACTCCACATATTAAATGGCATGACACCCCCCTCACTCCCAATTCTATTTCCTAACTTAGCTTTGAGAAAGAACTGGCTGGCAGGCTATTATCCACAAGGCAGGAGACTGCAAGAATCCTATCTAGGAAAATTAACCTTTCCAAGAGAAAAGCGCAGATATTGACATTCAGAGGAATCCCAATAGAAACAGCCCAATAAATCACCCTGCTGTGAAGTCTACCACTCAATATATCAAGCACACCCACACAGACCTTCCACTCACCTGTTATGTCACCTTTAAATATAAATGAACAGCTAAGGATATCCTCTGAGACCAAAACAAATAAACAAAATAAAACATAACATGGAGAAAACAACAGGCACTATTTTGTAATGCAAAATACAGAAGAAAACTTTATTATTCTTATTAATATCCTCAGAGAGAAAGGCAAAGTCATCACATTCCTGAAATGAGAATGCCATATGAAAAAAATTTTCAGAGGAAAAGAATTTTCAGTAATTAAAAATATCAGAGCACAAATGAAAACATAAGAATATTTAGAAGACAACACTAAGGAACTGTGCAGAAAACAAAAGAAAAAGAAGTAGATAATAGGAGAGGAAAACAAGTTGTAAAAACTAGAGCATTGATTCAGAGAATCCAATATATGAATAGCTGACATTCCAGAAAGATAAAGAAGAGAAAACATCTTGGAGGACGGGAGATTCTCTTTTTAAAAATGTCCTATAAGTAAAATCCAGAAATTTATGGATTGAATGGGTCCATCAAGTACCCAGCATAATATAAAATACATACACACACACACAACACAGCACATCAGTATAAGATTTCATCACAAAGAAAGTCACAAACACCACAAAAAAGGATTGGGAATCATTACAGCAGTAGTCTTCCCAGCAGTAGCACTAGAAACTAAAAGACAGTAGATCAATGTCTTCAAAAACCTGTGGGAAAAATAATTTGTAACCTAGAATTCTAAACTATCTATAAATGTTACAGTAGAAAAAAGATATTTTCAGCCTTACAAAATCTCTAAATATTTTTATCCTCCCTCCCTTTCTCCTTTTTTCAGGAAGCTACTGAAGTATGTGATCCACCAAACAAGGATGCAAATCAACAAAGAAATCCAGGACACAGGGATTCCAGTATACAAGACAGGAAGGGAATGTTCAGGATGGTGTAAATCTGAGTACAAAGCTTATACTGAAAAAAGGAAACAGTTGCTGTCGAGTCGATTCTGACTCATGGCAACCCCATGTGTTACAGAATAAAACTGATCCACAGGGTTTTCTTGGCTGTAATCTTTATGGAAGCAGTTCACCAGGACTTTCTTCTGCAGAGTCATGTAGTAGGTTCAAATCACCAACCATTAGGTTAGCAGCCGAGCACAAACCATTTGTGCCACCCAGTTGTTGTTGTTGTTAGGTACAGTTCTAACTCATAGTGACCCTATGTATGACAGAACAAAACACTCTTGGGTCCTGCGCCATCCTCACAATTGTTGCTATGTTTGAGCCCACTGTTGCAGCCCCTGTGTCAATCCATCTTGTTGAGGGTCTTCCTCTTTTTTGCTGACCCTCTACTTTATCAAGAATGATGTCCTTCTACAGAGACTGGTCCCTCCTGATAACACGTCCAAAGTATGTGAGACAAAGTCTCCCCATCCTTGCTTCCAAGGAGCACTCTAGCTGTACTTCTTCCTAGACAGACTTGTTCCTTCTTCTGGCAGTCGATTGTATATTCAATATTCTTCACCAACACCATTATTCAATGGCACGTATTCTTTTTTTGTCTACCGTAGTCATTGTCCAGCTTTCACATGCACATGAGGTGACTGAAAATATCATGGCTTGGGTCAGGCACATCTTAGTCCTCAAAGTGACATTTTTGCTTTTCAACATTTTAAACAGGTCTTTTGCAACAGCTTTGCCCAGTGAAATACACTGTTTGATTTCTTGACTGCTGCTTCCATGGGCGTTGATTATGGATCCAAGTAAAAAGAATTTCTTGACAACTTCAATATTTTCTCTGGTTATCATGATGCTGCTTATTGGTCCAGTTGTGAGGATTTTTGTTTTCCTCATGCTGAAGGCTGTAGTCTTTAATCTTCTTAACTGCCTCAAGTCCTCTTCACTTTCAGCAAGGAAGGTTGTGTTATCTGCATATGGCAGGTTGATATTGAGTCTTCCTCTGATCCTGACACCACGTTCTTCTTCATACAGTCCAGCTTCTCGGATTATTTGCTCAGCATACAGGTTGAATAAGTGTGGTGAAAGGATAAACCCTGACGCACAGTTTTCCTAATTTTAAACCAATCAGCATCCTCTTGTTCTGTTCAAACGACTGCCTCTTAGTCTATGTACAGGTTCCACATGAGCACAATTAAGTGTTCTGGAATTCCCACGCTTCACAATGTTATCCATAATTTGTTATGATCCACACAGTCAAATGCCTTTGCATAGCCAATAAAACACAGGTAAACATCCTTCTGGTATTCTCTGCTTTCAACCAAAATCCATTTAACAACAGCAATGATATCCCTCGTTCCACGTCCTGTTCTGAATCCAACTTGAATTTCTGGCAGTTCCTTGTCGATGTACTGCTGCAACCGTTTTTGAATTATCATCAGCAAAATTTTACTTGCATGTGATATTAATGATATTGTCCGATAATTTCTGCATTCTGTTGGGTCATCTTTCTTTGGAATGGGCACAAATATGAATCTCTTCCAGTCGGTTGGCCAGATAGCTGTGTTCCAAATTTCTTGACATAGACAAGTGGGCACTCCAGCACTGCATTCGTTTGTTGAAACATCTCAATTGGTATTCCATCAATTCCTGGAGCCTTGTTTTTCGCCAATGCCTTCAGTGCAGCTTGGACTTCTTCCTTCAATACCATCAGTTCTTGATCATATGCTACCTCCTGAAATGGCTGAACATCAACCAGCTCTTTTTGGTACAGTGACTCTGTGTATTTCTTCCATCATCTTTTGATGTTTCCTGCATCTCTCAATATTTTGTCCATTGAATTCTTCACTATTGCACCTCGAGGCTTGATTTTTTCCTCAGTTCATTCAGCTTGAGAAATATTGAGCATGTTTTTCCCTTTTTGTTTTCTAACTCCAGGTCTTTGCACATTTCATTATAATATTTTACTTGGTCTTCTTGAGCCGCCCTTTGAAATCTTCTGTTCAGCTCTTTTACTTCATCATCTCTTCTATTTGCTTTAGCTGCTCTACGTTCAAAAGCAAGTTTCAGAATCTCTTCTGACATCCATTTTGGTC